CAGCAGTTGAGAATTTGTTGCATGTGGACGTTGTCCCACTTCTTGGCTTACACTCCCCAGCAGCTGTAGTTAGCGAATTCATACTTTTCTCGCAATTCTTGGTCTCCTTGTACCTCAGGTAGGGTTAAGAGGTGATTGAAATTGCAATCAATTTGTAAAACTTGTAATTATTTAATTGCATGAGCATATCGAGCTTTTTTGTTGATTGTTGTACAAAACTAGCAAATGGAATATAGCGACACTTAAGTTGACTTGGAATATGCTAGACAATTACATGATCTAAACGGCTATTTAATATTAACAATTACAATCCTTGAGGGATTGTTGCCCTTGTTATTCTTGCTGGAAAAGCTGAAACTTGATGTGCAATATGATTTGCTTATATCCAGCTTGAGCACAAATCATGTTCACTTGATCATGTTTGGCCTGATGTTGATGGATTGACATTGTCTCTGGCGGTTCCACACTGATGTTCTCGACCTTATAAATGGATGCCCAGGCCAGGTCTCCATGCATCGTTTAGGACTGTGGCTAACCACGCAGTTGGCTGCAGTCCGAAACGCAACTTTGCTAGGTCCCCTGAAGTTTCCTGTCCGAACACTTATTCCTGGAGCGAATTCCTCAGCTGGACTCACGTTCCCAACATCTGGACAAGAGCCCTGATATTAAAGCTGCTGGATCTTTCAGTGCATCTATTATATATTAAGCAGCATTCTGAGTTTTGAGTGAATCTTGAGTCTGAATCTGAATCGACATCAACATCATTCATGGACTCAAATTGGACTCTGCTATGGAAATAACCCATCACTCATGATCAATGTGATGGATGGTAGACCCTAGAATATGGGTATTGCTAAATTGGCTCTCTTTGGCTTTGAAAGATTGAGAGATGAGTATCATGGTTGCCTATGGCTAACCACACCTGGACAAGAGCCCTGATATTAAAGCTGCTGGATCCTTCAGTGCATCCATTATATATTCAACAACATTCTGAGTAAATCTCAATCGGCATCAACATCATCCAGGGACTCAGCTATGGAAATAACTTTTACTCATGGTCAATGTGATAGATGGTAGGCCCTAGAAGATGTTGCTAAATTGGCTCTCTCTGGCTTCGAAAGATTGAGAGATGAGTATCATGGCTGCCCGTGGCTAACTAAAAAGCAAAGAATACAGAACAGGTCCTGGAAAGCACTGGACCTGCCTTCCCTTGGCTGCTGTGTTTCAGCAGTGTAAATGATGCTCATGTCCCCAAAGAAGGCTAAATGGCGGCTTTTTTATTTTTCCTGCTCGAACTGATGCATCTGTCATTGGTGTTGTTGCCTGTCAAAAGATGTTACTAATAATTTGGATAAAAATTTCTCATGCTCCAGTCATTTCATTTGCAAAGGCTGATCTATGTGTACCATCCCCGGGGCTAAAACCTTAAAAACCGGACAATTAAACAGAGCCTAGCGAGAAAGCCAAATCCATCACCGAAAATCTAAAATTTCTCTGGTCCACACCGTTCTTTAACTACTTACAATAACCTCCCACTTTAGAATTTTCCCCCTCTGCACTTCTTGCTCATGTCAAGAAGCAATAAAGTAGAAAATTTTTACAGGTCTTGCTACAAAAACGTGGGCACTAAAATACAAATCGACAATAAAAAAAATCAAAGATTAATTGCTACAAATGCCTAGTAAAATATAACTTTAAACTGTCTCAGCGAGCTGCTTCGACAGAATAATATACAAACCATCCATGAAACGGGAGATAATCAAGGCTCATTTCAGGCCCTCTCAGTCACCCGCTGCCATTTTCTTCGACAGGGGAGCCTTCTAGGAAAGATTGCTTCTCCACTTTACCAGCAGTGTTCTCGCTATGATTCGCAAGATCATTGTACATCTTCATAGAAGCCTTGGAGAACTCAGTTAAGGACTCAAAAACCCTCGAAAATCCTATCTGTAACCCACTTAGTGTGATCCTCTGTGTTTCTTTCACGTAGTTGTGGTGTTTTTCCTTCTCTACATCCAGCTTCTTCCTTAACATGTCCAACTGATCTTTCTTCTCTGTCAAGTGTTCACGCCAGTGTTCTGCATCTGGCTCGGGTTTATATTCTATAAGTTCAGATTCAAGAAACCTGGTCTCTACCTTCTTGAATGACGTGGTTCTTCTGTCGAATTCTCTTGCTAGACTGTCAACTTTCCTTTTCTGTAGCTGTTCCTCCCCTTGCTGAGCCCACAAAGCCTTCATATCTTTCAAGAAGCTTTTAATTGCCAAGGACACTGCCTTGTCTGGTAACTTGTCCATAGAAGACAACCAATCATGGCAAATCACAAGTAACGGGGGACCAACTGCTTGATAAGGCGCTGCTGAACTCCTGACCCTGGAGCAGAACTCAATTTCAGGTATTGTGAACATGCTTAACCAACCATGAAGAGCTCCAACATATGCCTTCTGTGCTGCAAAATACTCTATAAAGCATGCACGCCAATTCAGAAGCTCAGCCTTGAGCTGAAGTGTCGCCAGCCGGTGCAAGTCATTGCAGAATTTTTCATGTGTGGGGCTGGCAAAAGATTTTACTTCGAAAAGAATCTTGTTCTGGGTTTCATGGGATTCCAACATAACCTTCCAGGTGTGTGTTAGGCTGCACATAGAGGAAGATAAATGAAAAAACCAGGAAGACACGGAATGAAAACTTTAACAGAATTGCTTTAGTTTCTATAAGCAACTTCCTTACCCTTTTAACAGTTCTACAATTTGAGGCTGCAGTTCTTCATCTCTTAATTTCTCGATTCTCTTAGAAATTGATTCAGCACTTCGAATTGCAACCAAGATCCTAGCATATAAATCTTTTACTGCAGCTCTGGTCTTGTCTGTGGTAAGCTCATCATCTCCCCTGACATCCTGGTTTCTCAGTCGTGAACACTTCTTTTCATATATTTTTCTTGTGCTGTCTCCTGCCTGAGGAAAAATAAAAACAAACTCTTATACAAGAAATAAACAATTTGGTTCTCTAAATTTGGTTTATATAAGAAATGCAACCCATTGATGTTCAAATTGATCTTGATTTATAGCAATTTTCATGATACAAAGAAGCCGTGATGCAATCTTAATGAACAAACATAAACAGTTGGGTGTTAGTGACTTACCTTGACCTCTTCATAGAGCTTCTTTTCCCAAGCATACAACCTTCCAAGTGTTAGTGAATGGCTTCCTGAATCCATTCCTCCATAATCATCAAAGAGATCATTTTTATATTCTGTCCAAGTAGAAGAGCCTTTCGAACTGGATGCTACAAGGCTCTTACATGATGATGGCTTTGATGAAGTGGACCGGTGCCATGTAATAGCTTGGATTAGTTTTGTTGAGTTCTCTGCGTTCATATGACATGGTGATTAGTTTTGTGAGGTTGATATCAACCACAAAAAAATCGAGTAATTAGGAGGAATGTTCATCTGTTAATGTATCACATAAGATAGAAATAAAACGGGGGACAGATATAGCACTGTCCCAGTTTGATCAATTAGTGAAACAAGCGAATCTCAGACCCACTCGCCAAAAAAAGCTAGGAATGACCGGATGAGGATTCCCAAATATTTTCATGCCGGTTTTTCGGAATTTTCCTTCGCAGGATACACATTAGACCTCCTATCATTACTAGTAATTGTTGTATGAAGTTTGCTTATGCATATTCTCAAACTAAGATTCTATTCGTTACATTACATGCTAACTAACAAAGGGAGGCAGTCTTTTCAATAGAAGAACTTACCCTTTTTATGTGCCAGACAAAATGAGGATCACTGTAGATCTTTTCAAAATTGAAATAAAAAAGTCGAGAATAAATAAAAGATTACCAAAAGCAATAGAAGAATAAAGATGGAAAAGAATTCAAGCAAAAAGAAAGAAAGAAATCATAGCATGCCAGGACCTATTGATTTAGATACAGTAACGAAAATCATTATTCTAAGGCAGAGGAAGAAGATTCACATGGTAAATAGTTAGAAATCACTTACATAACCATGAAAACATAACAATAGATACCCCACCTTTAATTTCCTCCAAGCCAGACTGCAAGAAAACTTTATTAGCCTCAAGCATCCTTGACACATCTTTGCCAGAATCATAAGCCCTAATGAAATGGTCCTCAATATCCTTCAAAGCATCCAATAACTCCCTCCCTCTCTCTGGTGTATCAATGACTGTAAGTCCCTTTTGCTCCCCTTGGCTCCCATCACCACCTCCATCAACTACCCTGACCACACTACCTCCACTGTCCCCAAGATCTCCTTTCCCTTTCTCTTCAACAACTATCACATTTTTCTCTTCCTCTTCTTCTCTATCTCCTTCTAGGTCAGGAATCCCTTCATCTTCCCTCACAGCCCTCAAATCATCATCAGAACTTCTCCTGTAACCACTTATAATCTCTGGCCTCGTGCTAGTATTAAAAGGGTTAAAGAAATCCCACCCAAAATCCCTCTGAGGTGACTCTGGTGGTGGCGGCATTTGCATATAATAGTACCCATAACTTTGTTGTGCCTGTTCCTCTCTCTTCATGACGTCTTCTTTATTACCCTCTTCCTCGTGATCACTACAGTCTGAAGAAGATACTGTTGAAGAACCACAAGACTCACAAGCAATGGTTTTTTCATGTGTTGTTGACTCGGATGGTCCTTGTTGAAGAAACATTGGGTTTCTTATCGCATTTTTTTCTTCACTTGTTGATGGAGATGGGCATGGAGGAGGGAAGGTAATGAGAAATGGTGAAGCTGGAGAAGAATGTCTAGCTACAAAAAGCTTTATACCTGCCGCTACTGCATAGAGAGATTGATAATATCTACAATGCGCCTTTGCTAGTGCATGTCTTCTCTCTACAGCAAGGTTCAACTGGCGTTTCCTCTCTCGACAGATAGATACAACCTCTTCTTCTTCTAGCTTGGAAGCAACACATCCCATTGTTTCACTTTATTAAAGTTGAAAGTTTCTTCTCTGTGTGCGCGGGTGCGTGTATGCTTTGGCTTCTATATAGGCGTGGATGCAACTTTTAGAGAAATGGAAGAACGTAAAGAGAGAAAGGCTGTTTTTGAGATAATATGTGTATGCTTTAGGGATAAAAAAGGAAGTGGGGCTGGGCCAAAATGGATTTTATGCAGTTTTTAACAGCGGTTATATACATGTAGAGCAGAAAATGTTGCTTTTGGAGAAGTTTTGGGGTGTCCCAGTTCATCTTCTTTTGCAAAAGAATGGTGATTTTCTGAAAGAAACTTGCTTAAAAACGAATTGGCAGAAAGATTAGTTTTTGTTTAAAAGAAAACACAAAAGAAGAAGAAAAAAGTGGAGGTTGTGGTAAAAATGGCTTAACATTATAGCAGAGAATGTGGGGAGGGAGGGGGAGGGAGGGGGAGGGAGGGGGAGAGAGAGAGAGAGAGAGAGATGTTCTGGTTGAGCTAAGAAGCTGAAGCAGAAAGAGAGAAACTATTCAAAAAGAAATGAATAGAAAAGGGAGAACGCCCTTCTAAGTTTCTGCTAAACTGGTTTTAGAGGTGATTTGTGAACTCTTAACAAGCTATCAATGGCTTGAGAAAGAAAGAAGAAAATGGGGAGGAAGGAACTAAGTAAGTCTAGTTGATACAGGCTGCAGGGTACATGGCAGTGGCTAAAGAAGGTAGGGGCTCGAGAAAGAGAGAGAGGAGATGGCGGTGTCCTTGTGTTTGGTAATTTGCACTCAAATGAGTTGGCCTGCATCAACGGCAACACCAAAACCTCACTCTTTAAAAGTTAAAACAATTAATGAAAGTTCTGCTAGTAAATTTAGCAGAGATTTTTAGAGGGAAGGACCAGGACACACACCTGGGGGCTTGGGACAGACAGGTGAGTCAAAAGGACAGTAATTTACTGTTAAAAGGACTGACTACTGAGACCAGATAGAGATAGAGAGAGATGGATTTGTCTTGTTTCTGGTGGTGTTCTTGTTGTTCTTCGAGCAAATCATGAATTAGTCCCTGTATTCTTGATAAAGTAACATGATAGTCCCTCTTTCTCAAAAAAGGAAAATACCACGTGTTTAATCTTTGTTTTTCATATCCATTTATAGCTTAATTATTTTCTAATTTCCAGTCACTTATTTGTTTAAGAGGTTCTTAGCGATCATTTTCTAGGTATTAATTAAAAAAAAGAAACAATTAGTAATTTGGTCGATTAACTCATGCTTGTGGAAACTAGAGGGACTGACTTTTTATTTATAAAAAACTATAGTGACCAAGTTGTAATTTACTCCCTTTTGTTTTCGTAACTTTTTTTTTTTTTGACTACCACGTGGACTCCTAATTATGGGTTTATAATTGCGCTCCTTGAACAAAAACATTAGTACTAATTTGTTAGTGATGATTCTAAACAACTGTGGATTTATTGACCACGGAAGTCAAAACTCTTGTTGTCTTTACTGTTATACACAAATCTATCTCTCCAGAAAGCCCAGGCGCTGTTTGGAATTTCAAAGTGTTTTTTTTTAATATATTAAAATAAAACCTTTTTAATTTTTAAAAAAATTATTTTAATATAGCACATTAAAAAAATTAAAAATACAAAAAAATTATTTTAAATGAAAAATTCAAATTTTTTGGATTTAAAAAGGAAGAATGAGTCATTTGTTTTTTTATTTTGAATTGTATTTAGCCATATTTTAAATTAAAAAATATTTTTGACAATGTTTTACAGTTATTTTGATGTATTAATATTTAAGATAATAAAAAAATATTTTCAAATTAAACTTGATTTAAAGAATGAAATCTTCTTTAAAATACTGTCATTAATTTTGGTAAAGTTATTGTTGAGGAGATGAGTAAGAAATAGAAATATATTAAAATAATATTTTTTTATTTTAAATTTTTTTATTAATATTATCATATTAAAATAATTATTAAAAAATAAAAATACGGTTGGATAATTTGTAATGGGACGGAACTAGATTGGTTGCAAGAATTTCAAGGGCTACAGGTTTTGGGAAAGAAAAGAAGGTTCCTATAAATGGGTCAGGCGGTACCATTTGCACTTGCATTCGGCTCGCAACACGTGCATTGACCGCTGTGCACGTGCGTGTCCACACGGCGACGCTTGCAGTGGCAAAAATCGAAGGGCGAGAAAATCACAAACTCAGCATCTTCTTTTGTCTGTGTCATTCGATTAATTTATTCCAAAGACATTTTTTATGAGGCCATGGTTTAGATTCTTAAGAAGGGCAGTTTCAAGATAAGTATATTAGCTAGTTGATTTTCAGAGTACAAGAATTTAAATAAAAGAATTAAAATACAGTAAATCAATTAAATTTCGATAAAATGCATCAGGATTATCTCTTGAAAAAATTTCTCTCGACCATTAAAAAAAAACCAGAGCTGGAACCTTTCTGCACTCTTGCTTCAAAAGCATGAAGCTCCACTCCAATTGCGCTGGGCCATTGAATAATGAACCTTCCTTTCTGCACTTTTTAAAAAAAATTTCCTCCCAAATCTTATCGCTCTCTCTCTCTCTCTCTCTCTCTCTCCCTCTCTCTCTATCACTTCTCGAGATTAGGGTTTTTTAAGGGGTGGGATGAATGTACCTGTGTTTTGTATCGTAGCATTTGGAATGTCAAACGTAGCATTTAAAACTGCCAGGAACATCCACACTCGAATTTAATTCGACCCCATATGAATTGGGTTATGGAAATAGTAGTTATGAAACCGGTTCGGTTTTATGAGTTGATAGTCTGATGAGTGCACTTAAAAAACAGAGCTTATAATTAACTTGAGACCGACCTGTCAAGTAACCTAGCATAACTTGGGTGATATCTATTTTTTTAATAAATATAAAAAATATAAAATTTATTAATGAATACTTGATTATTTTTTTAATTTTTTTAATATAAAATAATTATATATATATATATATATTGTTTCTTAATTTTTCAATATTGAGTAGCTATATATTAAACTTTACTTTCCTTTTTAACAGCATTCATTTGCATGTATTGTTTTTTTTCTAATTTTTTTTTTTTTAATTTTGAGATTCATTCGTGTAACCTAAAACCTTATTTCCCGGACAGGTCAACCCGGGAAGCACAGACTCTGTAATAGATATGCAAGCACATGAATTATGCTCGACCAACAAAGCCATTGAGAATGGTGCGGTTGTTAATGGTTTAAAAGGCGGGGGCAAGTAATAAAAAATGACAACCAGGGGAAACATTACAGCGGTGGTCTTTCGTGGACGAGGGAGAATATGCCCTGACAAAGTGTCTGACAGACGAGGGGAAAAGGAATCCTTATCTGACCTCGTAAATCATCCATCTTCTCTCTTTTCAATAACAATGTAGTCCTGTAGCAGCTCTTTTTTTTTTTTGTTTTACAGGTCAAGTTTTCGGTAGTATATGTTTCAATTTGGCACTTCAAGCAAGGCGTGCTGCGTTCTAGTCTTTCCTTCCTAGAACTCTGAAAACACTATTCGCTGATGGTCAAGAAACAAAACCAGGGTCTGGGCCGAGGTTGTATAATCATCTCGGATTGCTACGGACTGCAGTCTACTGGGGATTGCACCCCTGTGCATAGATATAAAACCTTGACTGACCAGTCAACGCGTTGATTCGAAACCTGACCGAGTCAGATTCTATTTTAAGGAAAGAAAAACAAGTACAAACGGGATTGTCTTGAGAGATTAAAACCAGCACATTAAATCCCGGAGCAGGCCAGAGCTAGGCCCAATTTCACGGCTAGGCCAAGTCCAACAGCGCTTGAAATCGATTAAATTCGGCTATTTTACTATACAGCCGGGGCCTTTCCTGTCCCCGGACTACGGGAGAGGGAATGCAGTGTTACTTGTTCCAGGATAATCCCATTGAGGGATGGAACAAAGCTGTGAACGAAGGAGACCGAAAATCATCATAGGAACATAAGCAGGAAAAAAAACTTGATTTTGCTAAAACCAAAGGGTAACACTAAAACTACCATGGAGTATTCCAATACAGCAAATCACAACAAAAGTAACTATTGATTGGAAAAGGAGACCACCAAACCATACACGTAGTAAGTGTTCATGTTCTGGATAGCCTAAATAACTATAAACAGCTACATCTCACAAAAAAATTCAAACTGAATTCCATGGACATTTCCTCGGTCATTTTCAATTTAAAGAGCCTGTCAGATTAATGCATTTTTCCTGAGAATAACATTACCTGCCCTATTGTTAATCTTGTGATTTGCTTCCCAAATAGGACTGCTTCCAGTGCACAGTCTACATGAAAACCCTGTACAAGAATTTGCCAGAACCCAAATTGACAACAGCTGAAACATTGCTCCTGGTAAAATTAAAGTTTAAACCACAGGCAGGCAGGCAGGAAGAAAGGAAACTAAATGTGCCAAGTTTGTACTATTTACAGAAGTAAAACACAGATATAGCCAAAGATAATGAGAGAGGCAGAAAACTTCACAAGAAATAACTATAATAATTGTCACCTTGTACTTCTCCAGTTCTAGGGTTTTTCGCACATAAGCTAAATTCAAGTATGAGTTCCAGTTAAAAGTTACAGTGTGCATTAAAGAATTGAAGGGTGGCTCCTCTTTATCTCTTTCAGAAGCTACCTGGTATTCACATTAGAATAATACAAGAGACAGGAACATGAGATACAGCTTCATCACATACTGCCAGCTTCTGTTGGTGTGGTACAAGGAGCCAGTGTGTTGGGAGGGAGACTGACTCCAGCCCCTCTAACAGATACGTTCGAGCACTTGACTGAGCTAGCCCTGCTTAAGAAATTTGAGTCAAGAAACACAACAATCACAGTAATGTCATCATGGAAATGTCGACGCACACCACGGTCGATCTTCTTCAAGTCTGAATATCTCATCTCTCTCTTCTTTGCTGCTTCTTGCAAGGCAGCTTTTACCAGCCTCCTTGCACTTCCCTGCATGAATAGAACAAGCAATTTCATGAATGGATTCATCTTGAACTTTATAGTTGCACATGCATTAAGTTTGTTGTATGACATGAATCCGCCACCCCAAAGACAAATCCTCTTGGTGTATTTCATGTTTATTCACTAAAACAAGCATCGAAATATGGAGCCAGATATGAGAATAAAATAAGAAACAAAATGTAAAAGAACGTGAAAAGTTTTCTAGGGACTCCCTTGAAAGAGCTTGGAGGTTTGCTTGACAGCTCTACTCCTACAGATGAATTTGCAACTGAAACACTGAGTAACATCAAATGGTGAACTTTAAATAACTACTAATTTAGAGGCATGTAAAAGACCTTGTTAGTCAAAATTTCAGGTGAAGGGAATACTATAAACACTGTT